AAGTTGCGATTGCCTTGGTAAGTGCTTTAATACTTCACTTAGTAGTACCTTGGACACCGTCCTTTTCTGACACTCCCATTTTCTTTGTTTCTATTTGTCCATTTTCTTTTTGATAAGAATAGTCTCAACTTGCCAATAAGGACTCATCGTGTATATCGCCTCAGGCATACGAAAGGGTGGCGTAAGATTTTACGTCAGGATTATTTTTAGTTCACTCAACTTTATTTTCTTTAATATTATAGAGTTTAATAGGCAGCTCTTTTGAAGAAGGTGATGTTTCTTCTTTATCCTCTCAGGAAAAGGGACGATTATCGCGGAGAGCAAAGTGTTGGTAATTTATTTTTTCTGTTTCGGGAGTTTCTTGAATTTTGCTTTCTTCTTTTTCTACTAAATAAAAGTTTAAAGGTGTAGTCATTACTTCTTTCAAAGGCTTGTCTTGAGAAAAATTACTGTTTCAGTTTTCTCCCCAAACATTGTTCATTTTTTCTGGATTAGCTTCTTGCCAGTTTTTTATCTTTCCTCCATAGATAAATAATTCTCCATAAATTTTTTGCACTTTGGATTGCGGTCTTTTACTATTAAAGCACTTAAAACTCTTTAAACTTTTGGGTAAGTACTCTAAACCTTCATCAATATCAGTGCTACTAATATCGAGACTTTCTAATTCGGTTAGTTTTTTTAAAGGTTTCAGGCTTCCATGAAAACGGTTGTATTTATCCTCTTCAATCTTCTCTTCTCTTGCCCAAGCCATTACTTTGGCAATTGTTTTTCGTGCTTTCCAACCTTTTTCATTCTCTGTAGCAGGTTTCTTTGGAACTTGAACTCCAAATTCATAGTTTCCAATATTCAATTTTTTTAAACGTGTAAAATTTTCGAAGCACGATAGCCCTTGCTCAGAAAGATTATTATTTTCTAAATTTATTTTTTCCAACTTTTTCCCATCAAAGGGTAATTTAATTTCTGAAAGAACTATATTATTTGAGCAATTAATTTTTTTAAGATTAGAGCAACCTTCAAAATCAAGTCTATCCAATCTATTAAAGGAACAATCTAATTCCTCTAGGTTCACAAAATCGTTTAGATTCAGGTGACCTTCTAAGTTTTTTTTGCTAATATCTAGTTTTTTAGTGAATTTCCTTTGTTCCTGAGGATGATTGTCACTTAATCATTGTTGAGCATCAGTGAAAATTGTAGCTGACTGCTTCTGAAAAATTTCAGGATTTGTATTCATTGCTTCGCTATATCACTTGGGAACCATTTTCATGCTGCCATCGTAAGTATAAATGAAATCTCATTCTTTTTCTACCTTTTTCATTTCTTCTTCAAGCATTTTTTCCCTAATTTCTAATTTAACTAAGTGATCTTTCCTTCAAGCTTGGTAATTATATCCCATGCGGCTTCCTAAACGATAATTTTTTAGTTCTCTTGCTAGTCGCAGACAACCCCAACAGTGAATTATTTCTAAACTTTCGGGTAAATATTCTAGTCCGTCATCTATAAGGGTATCGGAAATATTTATTTCTTTTAACCTAGTTAAATTATTTATGTTTAAAGATTTTAGACTACCACGAAAAGGAATGCCTCCTAGCAAAATTTTCTCCAGATTCGTAAATCTGTTGAAAAAGGCCAAGTCTTGCTTAGTAGAATAGTAATTGTTACTGAGGTTCAGGTAAACCAATTTTTGAGGATGAGAAATATCCAAATTATTAAGATAGTTATCTTCAGCACTTATGTTTATGATTTTTGGACAATTTTTAGTAGCAAGAGTGGTTAACTGATTTCTTCCACAACTAATTGAAGTAAGATTTGGACAATTTTTAACAACCAAACTAGTGAGCCGATTATCTGAGCAAATTATTGTTTTTAAATTAGGTCAATCACTAATAACCAAAGACCCTTCCAGTCTCTGTTTTATAATATGTAATTCAGCATTTTTTTTGTAAGGATATTGGTCATTTAGTCATTGTTGAGCAGGACTTTTTGGTAAGGTGTCTCATGATTCATTAACTGGTTGCCGCCTTTCAGTTTTTGCTTTACCTAGTTTGTGAACTTCATCTTCTGTCCCTAATTTTTTTTCAGAACTTTTAGGAACTAAAATCTCTAAATAGTTTTTAAGAGTTAAAGACTGATTTTGCTTTTTAAGTTTTTGTTTATATTCTCAGAGTTTTTGAGGAAAATTTTTTATTCTTCCTCATTTGTCTGTTTCTACCTTTCCTTCTTCGTTAGAAAAAATGTTATAAATGTCTTGGACTTTAGCATCCTTTCTGAAATTTGCTAAGCATCAGAAAGTCTCGACACTATCAGGTAAATATTCTAGACCAGAATCTATATCAGTATTAGAAATGTCAAGTTTTTCTAAATTGTGCATATTCTGCAAAGGCTTTAGGGAGCCGGCAAAGCGATTATATATTCCATTTTCGATTCTGTGCGAATTGTCTTTTATAACATTAATGCATTTTCCTAAGGCTAATACCTTTAAGTTGACTAAATTACTAGAAGACAAAAAGGATAAGTCTTGTTGAGGAAAATTATTATCACTAATACTCAAATTCTCTAATTTTGGAAACTGACTTAGGTCTAATTCAGTTAAAAAATTATCGTAACAAGAGAGTTGTCGCAAATTAGGGCAGTTGCTGAAATTTAAGTTGACAAGGCGGTTATAAGAACAATCAACTAATTCTAAGTTAGGACAGTTGATGATCACTAATTGAGTAATTTTGTTTTCCGAACACTCTAAGCACCTAAGATTAGTGAAATTTTCTATTTTTAAGGAGCCCTCTAAATTCTCATTTCTGATATCCAGCTCAGCAATACTTTGCTTTTGTTCTTTTGGATAATACTTGTCAAAATATTCTTGGGCATCAACACTTATTTTTTTTTCAGGTTCTTCTTCCGAACGCTCAAAAATTGATAATCATCTTGGATTATTTATAGCTTGGTCCACAATAAACTCTTCAAGCGTCTGATAAGTTTCCTGAAACTCTTTTCTCAGTTCTTTGTCATTTCCATGATTCAATATCCAATCCGCATCTTTACCTCTACTCTTTAATCATTTAGCATAGGAAGCGTCGCTTACTTTTAGGCCGGCCTTTATCCACTCCTTGCAAGTCTCGTAACTAAATCCTAATATCTCTCATTGCTTTTTTAATTCAGGTGCAAAACCAGGATGAATATCCTTCCAGTCTTTGTAGCCACGCTGCAATTTACTATCCATTTTATCTGTACTTTCTAAACTTAACTTTTCTTTGTTTTCTCTATCAGAAGTCAAGTTATTTATAAAGTTCAATTCCTCCGCTACTTTTTGCGTTCTTTCCTTTAGTACACGTTTATAATTTTGGAGCATTCGGGAGAAATTATTTATGAACTCAAATTCCTCATCAGTCACTCTTTCTCCCAGTCCGCCAGTGAAAAGATTGTAAATAGCCTTTACCTTCGCATCACCTTTGTACTTTGCTGAACACCAAAAAAAATTAATACTATCGGGCAGATACTCTAGTCCATCATCTAGGTCAGTGTCGTCGATACTTAGCATTTCCAGGCTAGTCATGTTTTGTAAAGGTTTCAAGGAACCAAAAAAGTGATTATAGATACCTTCTTCGATTCTTTTTTTATTACCATTACCTACTCCTAAAGTCTTCAAATTAACTAAATGACTCAAAAAAGACAAATCTTGTGGAGGAAAATAATTATCACTTATGCTTAATAATTCCAACTTGCTATTTTGACTTAAATCTAATTTAGTTAAAAGATTATTTTGGCAACTAAGCGTTTTCAAATTGAGACAAGTTTTAATGTTCAATTCCTTGAGTTGATTGTGGTCACAAT